GCTCTGGCACAGCATTCCTGGGGGGTGGCAGCTCTGGCACAGCATTCCTGGCCCGCAGGACGTGCCCTCAGCCTGTCCTTTGTCTCCCGCAGCTCCTGCCCTGCCCAGCACGGTCCGGCAGCGCCTGGTGGACGCCCAGCACGGCCACGGATCGCAGAGGTTGGTAGAGGGTTCCGTGCCCGGGCAGCCCGAGCCGGGCCCCGCGGCGCCGTTCCGGGCGGGCCGAGTGTCCCTGCGCCGAATGCAGAGCCTCTCCTCCGGACAGTCCTTCAGCTGCGACCTGCCCGGCGCCGGCCCATCGCCTGCCTCCACCTCCTCCACCTCCTGCTCCTCATCCACCACCACCGCTGCTCCTGCTTGCCATGTCCACCCTGTCTATTACCATCACACCACCTCTTATTTCCTCCAGATGGACTCCACCCCCGACCTGCCCCCTCCTGATGTCACCTCTGGAGTTCGCTGTCGCACTGGGAGCTTTGGGTATATTTGCTGTTTCTTTTCTAGCTGCCTCCTGCCTGCTGGGCCTCGGAGCTGCCGCTTGCCCGGGTGCTCTCTCTGCCACATTGCTCCCGCCCTTTCCTTCTGGGCCTTTATTTCATGGTTTATCCGCCTGTTTGTTCCTCCCACCGCTCTCCCGAGCCCTTGGAGCCTCCAAGGAGTGTTCCATGGGCCATCCCCACACCCAGGAGCTCAGTGGGGGCATTCCCAAGGCGCTGTGCTGTTGTTCCACTGTAGCTGAGCAAATGAGAATTCCCGGGCACTGGGTTATCCCAAAACAAGTCAGGTTCCACCTCTGAGGAGGCACCACAACTGATCATCAAACCCTGGCCTGGTTTGAAGCCTGGGCTTGTTTGGGGTCTTCACAAGCAAATTGCAAAGGGAACGTGGCGGGTGGGACCGTGAGGCTGTGTTTGTGAAATTGGGGATGGTTGTAGGAGGTGGTGAAGCAGCAGCTCAGGAATGTGTTCCAGAGTGACTCTGGCTTGGCAGGGATGAGGAATGGGTGTGTTTTGGCCAAGGAATGTCTGAGGAGGCAGTTGGAGCTTCTGTTGCTGGATCTCTGGCTTTAGCTTGGTCCCTCTGAGTTGGCTCTTTGGAGACCTGGAGGATCCCAGGGACTGGTTGTCCTGCACACCCCTGAACCCCTGAGCTCTCCTGATTCACCTGCTGGCATGAGGGAGGTGCAGGAGTCCTGTCTGGTTGAACTGGGCTGCTCCAACAGCCAGGTCAGGAATGTTCTGGGCCCCAAGCAGAGGATCCTGTTCCTTGGGTGGCTTTGATCTGAGCAGGGCCCAGGAGCTCCTCGTCCCACGGGGTCATGGATGCAGCAGCTCCAGGTGCTGTGTGCCTGCAGTGCTGGATCCCCCCAGCTCAGGAGCAGTGGGATGTGTGCTCGTGTCTCAGGGTGTCCCAGCACTCAGGGCAGGCGGGGGGAGGGCTGTGATGGACCATCAGGGAATTGTCCTGTCCTTTCCTCCTGCCCTCCAGGGGCTGCCTGTGACCCTGGACAGGCCATTCCAATTCCATTCCAGGCTTTCTCCTTGGCAAACTTAAAAACGGTCTCCTAATCCTCAGTGGGGAGCAGAGTGCTGGGAGAAGGCTGGAATTGTCTGGGTGAGGCAGTGGGTAGAGGGAATGTCCATCCATGTTATTTATCCAGGCAGGACAACATTCCCAGTCATCAGATCTTCGTCCATCCCAGCACATTGTCCCGTTATCCCTTTACCTGCAGGTCCCTCTGCCCTCAGGTGTTGGGATCTCTCCTGACCTTGTTCACACAGTCTCTGCTCTGGATGTTCCACCCACTCCCTGGGTTGTGTCTCAAAGCTGAGGAGCCCCAGGCAGGTGCTGGAGTCTGGAATGTTGAGGGGGAAATTCCTGCACCCGCTCCACGATGGAGAGTTAAAGAGCAGCATCAGTTAATTCATAAATGTTTGTTTAGGGATGATGAGAAGCAGCGTAATTAAACTCTGGATTAATCCCTGCTGATGGGAGCTCAGTCACAGTGGTCTGAGTTAGACTGGTAAGAGCTGGGAATGCTGCTGGTCCCTATTTCCATCGGCCTCTCTGCCTCTGCAGAAGGGAGGGCTCATCCCAGGAGCCTTGGGGTTGATGACCTGTATCCAAAAGAGGTGTTTCAATGGGTTTATTTTCCACCTGAGGCCTGTAGTACACAGAATTCCTGCCCAGGTGAAAGACCCTGCAGACCCCCGGGAGTGGCAGAGGGAAATGGGATCTGCTCTGGGGATCCCAGAGAGGGAAAGGGATGGTGCTGAGAGGTCATTTGGAGGGAATAACTGGGGGCCTAACCTTGGTCCTTAGCAGCAGTTGGAATGTCCTCTCCCTGTTCCCAAGGCAAAGTCCGTCCCCTGAGGCAGGATAATTAATGACAGTGGGAACCTTTCACCCGGGATTTGCTCCAGCTACACAATAGCAGCGACTCGCCCCACCTCATCCATCCCTGCTCATTCCAGACAGCGGAAACCAGGAGCTGGGTGCCCAAAGATGTTGTTTTGTCGCTGTTAATTGTTTTATCCAAGTGCATCATCAGCAGATCCTGCTTTGATGCATCCCTAAAAACGCCGCCACAGCCGACGGATCGCTCCTTCTCCTTGATATCCCCAGTGCTGGGGCCTTCCCAGACACCCCTGGAGCTCCACAGCATCCCGGGGAGTCAGGCAGGACAGCTGGGGAGGCTGAGAAAGGCCTTCCAGGGAGTATCTCCAAGGACCAGAGCACAACCCCACAAATCCCTGGCTCCCCTGGTAGCAGGAAGGTGCCCCCCGAGTGTTGGGGCTGCTGGGGCGCGTTGGCCTCTCCCACAGCGGGCACGTGCCGGTGCTGGGGGAGCTCCAAGGAGCCCTTCCCCCTGGGAAAGGCTGGGCATCGCTGTCTCTGGAGTCCTGCTGGGTTATCCTGGCAGGGAGCTGCTCCCTCCACTCCTCACTCTTTGCTTCTCTTTTGCAATTGGCTTCAGAGGATCCGGCGCAAATAAGGTCAGAGCGGTTCCGGGCCGGAGTGCTGCGGGATCCCGGGATTCCAGGGGGAGAGGGGCTGGAGGGGGCTGTGTGTGCACAGAGGTTTCTGCTGCCAGTGCCTGCCTCAGGTGGATAGAGCTCGTGGAGATGGGAGTGTAGGACCAAATCCCCACCATGGCCCTTCTCCAGCTGGGAAGGGAGGCGGCAGCCAAAGCAAAGGGAGGGAGAGAGTCAGGAATCCAGGGAAATGAGTAATTCACAGCTCCCAAAGGGTGGAAGGAAGGAAATTGCTGTTGGATTTGCACTGAGGCTGCTCAGGAGCTCAGCCCTACAGAAAGTTTGGGAATTTGCCTTAGGAGAAGCTTTTGTGCCCTGGTGCCACACGCCGGGCATGGGATGAGGAGCCCGGAACGGGGGATGCTCCGGGCAGGGAGGGGTGAGGAGTGAGGGCTGGGGGAGCAGACC